TCCCTGCTGTTTTGGGTATATTTTGGTCTAACCCTCACTACAGTTTATATGTGTTAAATAAAAAGACGTTAAATAAAAATATTATCATACAATAAACATACATTCATTCGGCCTAAAAAGACTTTTGTTTATGAAATAACTCCTTTTTAACCTTTCTTTAAATGTTGCAAATGTAATATTAAAATTTTCTTTTAAGGGTGGTGGTAAATAATTCCATATTTTCGCGGCCGAATATATAAAACATACTTTGAAGGTCTTTGTCCTATGGCATGGAATATTCAGCATGTTTTTTTTTTAAATAGGATAGGGTGACAAACGAGCACACAGTCCACCTGATGGTAAGTGGTTGCTGCGGCCCATAGACATCTACATCCATCCTCGATTACGAATCAAAATGCAGATGCGTTGTCACCCGTGAGGACTAAGGTGGAATGCCTCGTTTCTAGTAAAAAATGGTCTCCGGTTCTCTACACTCACCATACGAAACACAGCGTGAAAGAACATAATATTAAATAAAATAAGGGTGTAAACACACAGTTCGTTAATGATCATAATCAATATCTCAAAGCTACTTCCAGTAAAAGGTCCCCCCCATAGACTAGCTTATGCTACTATTTTACGCTGGTATTCTGTGAGAGCGTGGTCCTTCCCCGGTCGAGCCGACTCATTCGTGCTACAACTATACTACTAATATAATGTTTGAGGCTCTTTTCCGTGTATTTAGTTCATGGGCATTCTTACTCCATTCTAATTCATTGTATAAATAAAGTGGACTTTTGTTATTAATAATTTTGCGAACTAAGCAAACCATGTGGAGTTTCCTACGTGCGTCCATTTTTAAAATATTGTTTCCATTGGGATATGGCGTAATATATTGTATATATAATATATAAATCTACCGTCCTGCTTTGCTCTTGTACCACACAACTAACCATTTAGCTATAATATTATTGAGCCATTTGTCTGATTAGTACTTAACTAATTGTTTTACTTTTACCTACTTTAATTCGTTTCTTGTTTGCTGTAAAATTATTTTTATGCTTTTGTTATTCTATTTAGTATGTATTCCATGTGGAGGGCTTATCAGCTGTAACACAGGTCTGTGACCAGGCACGGTTGCTAAGGCCTGCCACACACTACATACGGAATTCCGAAACGGAACGAACGGGTAGGAGGCCACACACATACGGAATCCCGTTTTGCCCGCAAAATTCCGTACGATAAACTACCGTGTGTGTGACGGGTTATTGATTTTATATGGACTTGCTGCGTTCGAAGTCCCGAATCATAATTCCGAAACGGAATCCCGAAACGGAATTTCGTATGAATGTAGCCGCCTAAAGATATCTTAATATAGTATTGAGTTAGATTAAGTTTAGTCAATATAAGTTTTTGTTTTTATGTATTTTTGGGTTCAATAAGTATTATATTATTAAATATTAGTTACCAAGTGAAAAACAAAACTTACAAATTTGTTATTCACGAGAACTAAACTGATTTAAAGATAAAAAAGACATACGTCATTTAATTTTTATAACTGTAGGTATCGCAAGTGAATAAGCACCAAAAATCACTAAAAATTAGAGATGGGCCGAATATTCGTTTCATATTTGGTACCAATTTCGGCATATTCGGCAGCTTTACCGAATATTCGTATTCGGCCGAATATTCGGCTAAATCACCGAACATTCGTTAAAGTGGTACTCAAAGTGTCCACTGTGTTGAAATGTACAAATCGGGTAATGCCATGTCTTTCGTAATTTTACTGTTGAAAGTATATTTTATTTAAGGGTTTAATCTACTTGTATAGCGTTACGTTTTTGAGGCACTGTAGATTTTCCAATTATAGCAAATAGAAAGCTTGATAAAATGATTTTGGGATCAAACAAAGAAACATTACATTAAATTCTACTAAAAAGTTAAATTATCATACAGTCCTAATTCCCGCGGTCACAGAATAAATAATAGTACTTACTATGTACAGAAGTTTCCTTTGATGTTAACTACTTGCTGACGTTATAATAACTTACATAGTTATCATTAATTAACCATACATTAATAATTACAATAATCAATTACATAGTTATCATTAGTAACACGAGGTTCCGCGCGATTTTGTGATATAGTATAACGCAGGCAGCAAGAGTGACAGTGACAAAGGCCTGCCGCGATATAGTGCTAAGAATAAGAACGCTTGCTGAGCTTCCTCGCTGAATAGCTATAATTTGCCTTTGAGCGAGAAAAGAACCAGCCCTGTTATCACCAGCAGCGCCGACCACTCGACTTATATTTATTATAGATATATAATATCGATTAATTAAAAGGGAATTTTAATTGAAGTTAACCGTCAAATGCCTTTTGTACGCCGATGATCAAGTTATTCTTGCGTCGCGTCGTCGGCAGTTGCAAATGATGGTTACATTAATGAACAGATCATTAAAAGAAAGGGGTATGAAAGTGAACGCAAGTAAGACGAAAGTTACGGTTTTTGAAAGAGAAGAAAGTAAGACGATATGTGAAATAAGAATAGAAGGGGAGTTGATCGAGCAAGTAGATGAGTTTTTATATCTGGGTTGCGTATTTAGTAGGGATGGGAGATGTGATAAGGACATAGAACGACGAGTGAATGCGGGAAATAGAGTAAATGGGATGGGGCCCTACACTCAATTGTGAAGAGTTAAAATGTGTCGAAAAAGACACGTATGGCAATTCACAATGCTGTGTTGGTCCCTACTTTAACGTATGGTAGTGAAAGTTGGGTGTGGCAGAAGAAGCACGAGAGTAGAATGAACGCAGTAGAAATGCGGTCGTTAAGGAGTATGTTAGGGCTGAATCTGAATGACAGGGTGAGAAATTGTGTGATAAGAGAAGAGTGTGGTTTGCAAGATGATGTTGTGACCAGGATTAAAAAAGGAATGCTTCGGTGGTTTGGTCATGCGGAAAGAATGAATGAGGAAAGAGTGACAAAGAAAATCTATGGTGCAAAGTGAATGGCAGAGTCGGAAAGGGACGTCCTAGGCGAAAATTTATCGACCAAATTGGCGATTTATTGAAAACGGGCCAAATTAGGAGTACCCTTAACCGACGAGCATGTATGCGTAGGTATATGGATGTGAAGTAGGCGAGAGAGGTGTGTCAGGATCGTGCCAAATGGAAGTCTGTAGTCTCTGCTTACCCCTCTGGGTGACCGGCGTGGGTGTTTATGTATGTAAAAGGGATGTAAAGTCTAAACTAGAGTCTTATTAGCTATAAAATTATATTATACCCGAAGCGACGTTAAAAAAAACCCCCGTTCACGCAAAATGCGTTTAGGTAGTTCTGAATCTTCAAAATGCCGTCATGTGTGAGGGGTAAACGCACTAATTACTCAAGCAAATCAAAAAAAGCTCACGAAATATCATATGACAAGTAAGCCGATTTTATTATGTTTTATTAAATTTAATCCTTTGGCTAACTAATGTGACGCCATAATTACGTAAGCTTAAAGAAAAGGACAACAATAGACGCTAATATGTTTTTGAAGGTATAGATACGTCGTACTCGCTCTAGAATGGCAATACGAACTGTAGGTAATTGCCCGACTCGCATTCAGTCGGGCACGCTCTCGCGTCGCGGCTACATTTCGCTACAGCGCATAAATCCTCTAGTTATTTGTGGCAAAAATGCCTTCCTGTGTCTTTAGGTGGTGCACAAATTACACGGCAACTGTTAGAGACAAGAAAAACATCTCATTTCATACGTAAGTACAGTTGTTTTTTAAATTAAAACATTAGATGTAATTTCTGTCTATCTTTCTATTAATCTGTACTATGCATGAGAGTGAAAGCGTAATGGTAGCGCGGTCTAATAAAGTGACCGCAGCTCTTAATTGTGCAGCTCTTGATTGTGTAAAGTTTGCATGCAACATTGTAAAAGTATAGAGTTGCCTATGGAGGTTAATTTGGAACTAGAAAAAGGTGAGAATTTTTTTTAATAGAATAAGGGTGACAGACCAGCACACAGTCCACCTGATGGTCTGTGGTTGCTGTGGCCCATAGATATCTACATCTATCCTCGATAACGAATCAAAATACAAATGCGTTGTCACCTGTGAGGACTAAGATGGAATGCTTTATTTCCAGTAAAAAGGGTCTCCGGTTCTCTACACTCATCATACGAAACCCAATAGCGTTAAGCCGCTATTTAACGCTGGTATTCTGGGAAAACGTGGTCATTCCCCGGTCAAGCCGATCCATTCGTGCCACAGCTATACCGTTAATATAGCTGCAGTATGCCTCAAATATTGGTAGGAAGATTAATGTATTTTTGAGTTTTAATAAGGCCTGATATATCATATTGTGCTAGTTATTTCTCAGCAGCAAACAATACGTAACTAATAATGTATATTCATCTTTTTCTATATATAGCTATACCCTATCATGTGTCTTTTTTGTTAGCGCAACGTGTCATAATAAATATAGTACTACCTGCGCCACTTTAAAATACAATATAACTGCCTATCCTTGATACTTCTTTGCAACAATAGACGTTCCAGAACTGATGGGATAAGAACCCGAACAACGCGATTATAGATTAATATAACTGAAGCGACGTCGGTAACATGATATTCAGTTGTTTGAAAATTATTTAATGAGAATTTTTTATTTAGTTTTCATTTTACATTGATACGTATGTACCTACCTACCTACTTTTCTTTTAAGGGACATTATGATTTTTATGTTTAACAAAAATAAAAAAATTATAACGTCGTCCTGTCTAGACTATTTGAAACACCGCCTCCGCTCAATCTTCTAAACCCCTTCCATCCTCCACCCCTCAAATGGCTGTACTAATGAAAAACCTGTTTTAGGTTCCCATGTAATGAAATAATGCGCCAAAGGTGGATTGCAGTCGTTCGTAAGCAGAGAAGCGAACATGATTGGATGCCGACGAAGTCCAGCTCAATTTGTTCCGATCATTTTGATAGTAATCATAAATATACTTCTCTTAAAGGACGTATAATGTTGAGAAAAATTGCTGTTCCCGTTTTAAAGGTAACTATTGTAAAATTTAACTTAATTTTTATTTCAGCACACACAAAAGTCTACTTCATTAAATATACTTCTCTTAAAAGACGTATACTGTTGAGAAAGATAGTTGTTCCTGTTATAAAGGTAACTATTATAAAATTTTACTTAATTTTTATTTCAGCACACACAAAAGTCTCTACTTCATTAAATATACTTCTCTTAAAGGATGTATACTGTTGAGAAAGATGGTTGTTCCTGTTATAAAGGTAACTATTATAAAATTTAACTTAATTTTTATTTCAGCACACACACAAGTCTCTACTTCATTAAATATACTTCTCTTAAAGGACTTATACTTTTGAGAAAGATGGTTTTTCCTGTTATAAAGGTAACTATTGTAAAATTTAACTTAATTTTTATTTCAGCACACACAAAAGTCTCTACTTCATTAAATATACTTCTCTTAAAGGAAGTATACTGTTGAGAAAGATGGTTGTTCCTGTTTTAAAGGTAACTATTATAAAATTTTACTTAATTTTTATTTCAGCACACACAAAATCTCTACTTCTTAAATATACTTCTCTTAAAGGACGTATACTGTTGAAAAGATAGTTGTTCCTGTTATAAAGGTAACTATTATAAAATTTAACATAATTTTTATTTCAGCACACACAAAAGTCTCTACTTCATTAAATATACTTCTCTTAAAGGACGTATACTGTTGAGAAAGATGGTTGTTCCTGTTTTAAAGGTAACTATTGTAAAATTTGACTTAATTTTTTATTTCGGCACTCGCAAAAGTCTCTGCTTCATTATTTTATTTTATCTATGACGTTCAAAAAGTATGTACCATTCATGTAAAATAAAAATCCTTTGACTTTTATGACTTCACTGAGGATGTGTATATTTATTTTATAGTATAGTATAGTATAACATATTATTATGTAGATATGTATAGTATGTTAAGATGTATTGACTTAGTAGTAATTAGTAACACTATAGATCCCTGGACTTTAGTGTAATTGAATAAGGTTTTTTTACTGTAATATGTCTGTGGTTAATAATAAATCTTAAAATTTGATTCTAAAAATGCATTTTTTTAAACCTGGTTTCAAAGGGACAAAAACTAATATGGAAGCTAGCATGGCAATGCAGCTGCAGCGTTTGATTTTTTTTTTTCAATTTGCGGCGCACGATCACACAGGTATATTTGGGCAGAGGACACTTTTTAAATAAGATAAAAATGTTAAGCAGCATGGTGCCCTTAAGTATCACGTTGCCAAGATATAAGAGGCCATATTCATTTATTAGTGCATTAGCACCATTGATATGCAAAAAACTAAAACACGAACTAAACTTCGAACATAAAGTTTTATTGCTTTGTAAAAACAACTTTTAATTATGCGCGTAAAGTTAAATTTAAAAATAAATATATGTTTTATGATAACTATAACTACTTATTTATTATTGGCCATCGATCACTAATAAAAAACTAGATACACAATCAGTGACAAAAAACGACCTCACCGAATGAGCACCCATTCGAACATTTGGGTGCGCTTTTAATCTAGTTACATTCGAACGCTCCGACGGTAAACATGCCTCAGTGCTCGTTTAAAAAGTGTAAAAATCACACATCCAGAACGCTAAAAAAGGATGGAATTTCCTATTATCGGTACGTATTAATAATATTATTATTTAATTGTTATCACTGTATTGTAAATACTTATATCTATATGGTTAAGAAATCCCCGTAAAACATTTTTTAAATTAAGTCATAATAAATAAGTCATGGTTGTTCGAGTTATGTGCGTTGACTATGTTCCATTTGTTGGAGACGTTATTGTTTTTAAATTTTTTTATTATTAAAGTATGATTGTTTTTTTTTTGTTTAATAGGCTTCTTTATTGTTTCTCTGAATATTATAGTAATATTTATTGATTTAGTTTTGAATATGTGCATGTAATAAAATTAAAGATGTGAGATGTTATTTTTCATTTTTTAGCTTTCCTCGAGATCCAGTTAGGTGTGGAGAATGGATATCAGTCGTAGCACGTCAGAGATCCGAAGAATTCTTCAAGCCGACTCAAGGAAGCGTTGTATGCTCAAAGCATTTTTTAGAAAGTGATGAATATGTGACTACGACAGGCATCAGAAGGCTACACAAAAAAGCCGTACCGCGAATAGTATGTGGCATTTTAATAAATTCGGTTGAGTTATTTACGCACATGAATTATTATAAATGTGTTTTGTTTATAGGAAGCAAATGATCATGATGTAGAAGCTGAGTCTTCTTTAGATAAAAAAGCGATTGAACAATGTTGCTTGCAACCACAAGTAAGTAGTTGTAAATATAACAATGATATTTTTATTTAATAATATTTTTACAATTTTTTATCAATTCAAACTTCAATTCGTAATAAATTGACGGGCTTGAATGCATAAACTTAAATTTATTTTGTTTTGATTTTACATAATAGTTTTTGATTATTTTAATAAGTAATATGCCGATATGAATAATTACAAAATTTTATTAAATATTGAACTAAGAGTTTCTAAAGTTCTTGAAAGCCCAACTTCATCTCTCAGTATTGGCTCAGTTCTGGATATACCAAAAAAAGTTGTTTTGAAGAAGGAACTTTTTGCATGCAAAAGGCTTTTAACAGTAAAAAAACCACAAATTATCAAACTTACGAAAGCAAAATAAGAGACTAAAGAAAAAATACAATAACTTAAAGGATGTTATGTCTCTATTAAATAAACGTCAAACAGTAGATCAGTCATTACTTCATGAACTATCTAAACATATAAAAGTTACAGACACTTTTAATGCTATTTATTTAAAGAACGTAAAAGGCAGAAAGCGGTCATTTTCTCAGTATCCACCAGATGCCAGAAAATTCGCCATTACACTACATTTCTATTCACCAGCCGCGTATAAGTACATACGAAAAATGTTTGTCACTTGCCTCCCTCACCCGAATTCTTTATGCAACTGGTACAGAAGTACAAATGCAGAACCTGGTTTTACAAGCGTTTGACAGACTAAAAGAAAAAACAGGTAAAGCCAAAAAGGAAGTAATAGGTGCTATAATTGCTGACGAAATGTTAATACGACAACAAAAAATATGGACTGGTAAACGTTATGAGGGTTTAATTGACATGGGACTTGGCAGCACTGACGACGTAAATGACATTGCCAGTGAAGTATGTCGTTATGTTAGTAGGTGTAAACGAATCATTTAAAATACCTATTGTTTATTTTTTCATTTCAAGTCTGACAGCTGAAGTAAAGGCCAATTTACTTAAAATTGCTTTAGAAAAATGTCACTCAGTTGGCGTAAAAGTGATATCGTTGACTTTTGATGGGCGTAAATCAAATATTTCTTGTATGAAAATCCTTGATTGTAACATGGACGATTGTTTGAACATGAAAACTCATTTCAAACACCCCTCAGACAATTACGAAGTGACTGTGTTTCTAGATGCATGTCACATGATTAAACTTATGCGTAACACATTTGAGTCCAAAAAGATAATCAAGGATGCCAATTAGAAAGTTATAAGATGGGATCTGTTAGGTCGTCTTCATAATTTACAGGAAGAAAAGGGACTACATCTTGCTAATAAATTATATCACCGACATATAGCATTTAGAAATGAAATAATGAAGGTGAAATTAGCTACGCAACTCTTGAGTCGAAGTGTGGCTAGAGTCATCGAGTTTTGTGAAAAGAAACTACATCTTATGGATTTTAAAGATTCTAGTGCAACAGCAGACTTCATTTTAATTTTAAACAACATTTTCGAGCATGTATGCGTAGATATATAGATGTAAAGGAGGCGAAAGACGTATGTCAGGATCTTGCCAAATGGAAGTACGTAGTCTCTGCCTACCCCTCCGGGTGACAGGCGTGAGTGTTTATGTTTTATATTATTTTCGACGTATTCACTAGGAATCTAAATGATCACGGGTACAAACCACTAAGTGTTAGTAATGCTAAACAAATAATTTCATATTTAGTGAAAGCTAAAGAATATTTATTATCTTTAAGTATCGATATTCGATGGAAAAAAACTATAAAAAGGAAAAATGAAACAATTGAGGTTTATACTTCGGAAAATATTCCGTTATGGAAGTGCCAAGCGAATATAGATGTGATTGGACTTTTAGTCTGCATTGAAAGCTTATATTACACATATTTATGCAGGACTCTGGTCGAATCTGATACCCTTTCTTTTCTTCTAAGTTAAGCCAATATCATGTGGAACAATTTTTCGGTCGTTTGCGAAGTCATGATGGTCATAATAATACATTGAACCCTAATGCATTGAAGCTAAAGTCCGCTTATAAGAAAATGCTAATGCATTTAGAGCTAAGTTATAAGTTTACAGGAAATGCTATACCGCTGGAAAATATTCCAATTTTAAGTGGTAATAATATAAGTTGTTTGTGAAGCAATTTCCGCTCTAAATATAACTTCAATAGGATATCGCACAGAAAATGAAATAGAAATCATTAACTCCAGTAATAACTTGGAAGACACATATTCAAGGAAACTGTGATATATTATCTTTGGAGCTCAATGAATCCGAATGTAGATCCGAATATGTCGATCAAATCGTGAGATATATAGCTGGAAACGTTAATTTTTTTAAAATTTAGTAAAAACTATGAAATGTGACGCATGGGTAAATAAATAGTTTCTCAAGATAGGCTTTTTTTCACAAACTTCACTATGAGAAACCTTGGGGGATTTTGTATCTCTAGATGCATTTCTTGTTCGCAAAAAAACTGAAGTTGCAATTAGGCACTACCACATGTGTACTATCAAGAATTTTTATATTTCTCAAATTTGCAGTAAGGTATTGTCATCATTTTTAGGTGTCGACATATTTTCACAAAGTAAATTACTGAACGGTACCTTAAAGTAAGATTGCATTACATAGAAAAAAAGATACGAAAAAAACTCTATCGAAAAGACGATTATTTAATAAACTCATTTCATTTCAGGAAAATTAATAACATATTTATACTGTCCTATCCAGTTTTTTGTAACGTCTGTAAATATGAACATTACGTCAGAATTTTGCAATAATATTTTCAGATTTTACAACTTTCTGTACATACTTTTTATATTTAGTAACTATGGAATTTAGAAATAAGTTGTTTGTGAAGCAATATTTTCAAATTTTTGACAAAGGATATAAAATAAATAAATAATTATGACTGTTTTAAGTACTTTTATTTCTAAATGTATGTGGTGTCCTATCCAAAAACATATTTACATTCAGGTTAATTATAACCATTACACATAATACACCATAGAATATGCTTTATTAAGTAATACTACACCAATTTTTTAAAACAAGTTTAACAACATTAAAATTACAGTAACAAAAAATATTGGGCAGTTCGACTCCCTCGTTCCTTGTCCAAGCGACGAGCCTTGGTCGTAAAATTTAATTGCTTTTTATTGGCACTTTGTAATCCTGACTTTAAAACATGCGTGTAAGGTTGAATTTGTTTTCATATAGGTTGACCAGCGAGTACAATCATAAAAATATTGCTTTTTCACGTATCTTTGTGAACACTACTATAGGCTATGAATTTAAGGTTGAATTTTGTACATTAATGTATATTTATTTCGACTAGAATTACGTCAAAACAATTGGCGACAGTTTTTAGAGAACCTTTCTATGGGATTGTGTATCTAGTTTTTTTATTAGTGATCGATGTCATTGGTGACAGTTTTGAGTGTTACTTTTGTTTAAGACTGCAAAGAAAAAAAAGAAGTGCATCTTGCGTTTTTTGTATATCAATGATTAGCACTTATAAATTATGCATTATTTAATATTGCATTAGCACTCCATAGGCCATAATCATGGCCGCTAAGAAATGAATATGGCCTATGGAGTGATGAAGTTCAGGACTTCTGATTACAGAAGTCCTAACCATAGGCCTCCCCCGTAGATTGCCTCATATGGGGAAAATTTGCTATACTTAGTTGCCACATTCAGCATGCGGGTTGCGAACGTCGCAGTTTTTTATTACTTTTGAAAGGAAATATAATGCTTCCCATATCTTTTGTCGCCCCTTCTGACACTTGGAATCTCATATATGTGCAAGCAGCTTGCAAGAAGCATCAAGCATAGCTTGCTTGTGTAAACTCTAAGCAAGGGTTGGGATACGATGATATCGAGAAGGAAATTCTTTAAGTCATCACTAAGCGGCGACTCCGTTGTTATTGCAACTATTTATTAATTTTATAAGAAAAACATGATTCCTGATAATATTTTGTGAATTCATTATTACAGGACACCACCTCCGTAAAAGCTGAACCCCCAGCAAGTCCCAGTAATTCCTTGGAAGACGTAAATATAGATGATTTGGACTATGTGTTCGATAGTCCTATGGTAAGTGCATTGAAAAAACAAATCGAACGCGATGCTGAAATAAAGAAAAGGATGACACGAAAAATCAGAGCTCTTCAAAAGCAAAATAAGCGATTGAAGAAAAGAGTTGTAGAACTCAAAACTGTTTTAAAGAATTCCCCGAGAAGAATCATAATAATACGGGAATCCGGGCCAGGTCCAGCGACGTAGAAGTCTGGTGTAGTCTTCGCTCTTCTGATTTTTCTTAATTTTTAAAATAGATTGTAACTATAATAAACGAATTATATATATCGCTGTTTTAATGCTTTGCCTATCTACTCCGTATTTTTTTATATAATAAGGGTGACAAACGAGCACACAGTCCACCTGATGGTAAGTGGTTGCTGTGGCCCATAGACATCTACATCTATCCTCGATTACGAATCAAAATGCAGATGCGTTGTCACCCGTGTGAACTGAGATGGAATGCCTCGTTTTTCACTTTTCCAGGAAAAAGGATCTCTGGTTCTCTACACTCACCATACGAAACACAGCAGCATTAAGCTACTATTTTACGCTGGTATTCTGTGAGAGCGTGGTCCTTCCCCGGTCGAGCCGATCCATTCGTGCTACAACTATACTACTACATAACTGCAGCATGGCTCTACCATGTATCTCTCTATCTGTTCGTAAGGTTTCATCACAATTGATTCAGTCATTCTAAAGAATAGCTTGAACTGACAAACAGTCAGACAAATATAGTGTAGCCTTCATAGAAAATCTACTTTTACTTTACCCTTGCAAGGCGTCACATGTATAATGTACCATCTTGAATGTGTACTTAATGCTAATGTGACATGTAATAAACATTTTGAATTTGAATTTTAAAATTTTAAAAATGGTAAACTGTGTAATGGCTATGTAAGAATATCCACTACTCCATACCATCCCATGTAATAACTACTGAAAATAAAAATTGCGGTTGCCAACCCGCTTGCCAAACGTGGCAACTATGGCAATATCCCCCCCCCCAAATGAGGTAATCTATGGGGAGAGGCCTCCGTTCAGCTGTGGACTTTAATATTTATTAAATTACAAATGAATAAACCAAACTGCAGATATTAATAAATGTAGAAGAATTTAAAAATTAAAAAACACATACGTATATACAAACATACATATGTATATATATGTATGTTTGTATATACGTTGTTGGGAGCACTATGCTCGAAGTTGTTGACGAATACGTTTACCTGGGACAAATAGTCCGACTAGGTAAGTCCAACTTCGACCGAGAGGTCAATCGACGGATTCAACTCGGCTGGGCAGCGTTCGGGAAATTACGGCATATCTTTTCGTCAGGTATACCTCAATCTCTAAAAACTAGATTGTACAACCAGTGCGTGTTGCCAGTGATGACTTACGTATCTGAGACGTGGTCCTTCACTGCTGGCCGTATGAGGACGCTTAAGGTCGCTCAGCGAGCTATGGAGAGGGCTATGCTCGGAGTTTCTCTGCGTGATAGACTCAGAAATGAGGATATCCGCAGTAAAACCAGAGTGACCGACATAGCCCAACGGATTAGTAAGCTGAAGTGGCAATGGGCCGGCCATATAGCTCGAAGAACCGATAACCGATGGGGAAGAAAGGTTCTCGAGTGGCAGCCTCGTACCGGTAGGCGTAGTGTAGGGCGACCCCCCACTAGATGGAGTGACGACCTGGTAAGACATGCAGGAAGTCGATGGATGCAGGTGGCTCAGGACCGTGCTTTGTGGCATTACTTGGGGGAGGCCTATGTTCAGCAGTGGACTTGTGAAGGGCTGTAATGATGATGATGATGATGATGTACGTATGTGTGTATGTATATGCATTTATGTAATATATAATATCAATCTACCAGACCCTTCAAAAAACTCAACTTATCTGTAAGCTTGTGACCACCCTCGTTATACTAAATTGCTTATGATTTCTCTTTTGGATTGTTTTTATTTGTATTTCTTCCAACAACAATATACCATCAAGCAATATAAGGGAAACCTGTTATTGGCCATACTTTTAGTTTGTTACATTAATGTTAAATATTTTCTGTATACGCTGTTGGTTTTCGAAATAAATAAATAAAAATGTAAAAAATGTGTAAACAATTAAAAAATACAGTACAGGGGTAAGTATTGTTTTGTGTACATAAATACACTAGAAAGCAAAAAACATTTCAATTATACTGACACTGTGATCGACGTATAAAATGAGTTCACCCTAGTGAAAATTGATTGAGAGAATATAAATATACCTAGATTGTTTATAAATACCCTAAGGCAGGGTTTCCCAAAGTGGTCAATATCGACCCTTTTGAGGTCGAAATCGGTTTTGCCAGGGGTCGATATAAACGAAAATTGATTTTGGGAGTCGACAAGGTCTAAAAATCGATCTAAGAAATCCCCTATGGATTAACACAAATTCTTATTTGAAACTTATGTTTTTTTTTATTTTATAGAATAAGGGTAGCAAACGAGCATAGTTCATCTGATGGTAAGTGGATGCTGTGGCCCATAGACAGCTATATTTATCTTCAATTAATAATCAAAACGCAGATGCGTTGTCACCTCTGAGGACTAAGATGGAATGACGAAGCATTCCACTTAAAAAGGGTCTCCAGATCGCTACACTCATCATAAGATACTCAGCAGTATTAAGCTGCTATTTTACGCTGGTATCCTGTGAGAGCGTGGTCCTTCCCCGGTGGAGCCGATAATATAGCGGCAGCGTGGCTCTAGCACGTGTAGTAAGTTGGGTTACGTCTACCAACTTGTTATAAAAATAATTAATATTTTAGTAGAAAGTATCATTTAAAAAACACGTTTAAATAACTCAATAATTCGATAAGCGTGCATAAGTTCGTACAGGATGAAAAACTCGGCAAGTCAATAAGCGTGACCAAGTTCGTGCACGATAATGAGTTCGAGCGTCCAAGTCTTTGAGGCACGTTTTAACTTGCTCTGTATTGGTAAGTATTTTGTATCAATAAGAAATAAACTAGAGATCAGATTTCTAAAGTAATTTGGCTATGGGGGTCTGAGGTATGAGTTCATATTTGAAAAAGGGTCTCTTGCCCAAAATAGTTTGGGAATCCCTGCGCTTTGGTAACCCCTCATTTCCTGGAGTCGGAAAAATCAATTGGTATCAAGGATATTTACTTTTAATATTTTAGTTATATAAATTAAGCTTAAGGACACGAAGCGAAAAGCAAAATCGTCAGACTTGTCGACGTAAACAATGCAAGAAAGTGTGTCAGACGGGCAGGCGGCAGGAGCGGTAGGCTTCCGTGCCGACATCTTGTGAAATCAGGAGAAAGCTGTGCGCCCGCGATGCCTTTTTGTCTACTCAGATTCCGTTTTGTGATTCTTAGTGTACACTGAGTGTATTATTGTCGGTGACTTTTGCTACAGTCTCAGAAAATATCTGTCTATTATTAAGTTTTTTTTTTAAATTAAAAACAAACAGTTTTTATGGATTATATAAAGAAAGAAATATTATTTTAAAAGGGATTATCATACACATAAAATATATAGTTGATAATAACCCCTAAGATTGAGGTAATCGCTTCCAAGCTGTTTTAATAAGCTTGTAAGTAATCAAACAATTTGTTTATTGTACGTACAAAGTTAGTGTTACTTTGGAAAAAAATCCACTAGTTCCTAGGAGTAAAAAAAAGTAAAAATGACTTTCAATATGAATTATTATTAATTAAATAGTATTGAATACAACATATTCGATTCTAATATATTCTAGTGTACAGATAATTCTGTATTTTTTTCACGTTACGATAGTTGCGTTTGTTTAATGTTTCTTAATATTAGTATTAATGAAGAAAATTTTTAGCAGATTATCTAGGTCATGATACCAGCCGATTCCCATACCGATGTTTCGTTAGAACTATTAGCGATACCGAGTCTATTTTTAGTGTAGTTGGAAATCATAGTTGAAATAAAACTTTTAAATATATAATACAAAATTTGACAAATTTTGGTGAACCTCTAGGCCTATACTATATAAAGATAATATAAGTTATATTTTATAACTTATACGTATATATATATATATATATATAAATATATATATATATATATATATATATATATATATATATATATATATATATGTATATATATATATAAATAACTACAAACTTGTACTTCTGTTAAGCTCTATGCCTTACAATTTGCTTACCGATACGAGTAGAATACTTTGCGGCCACTCGAGAAAATTCTTTCCCATCGGTTGTCGGCCGGCTTAATGAGACTTTAGCTTATTGTTCCGTTGAAAGTCAACGATGAACAAGTTAATCGGTACGAACGCTATCAATTTACGTAATAGGTAATGAAACTTGATTTATTAATGAATAATGACTGATGACCACATTTAAGTCATAAATCCTATTAAAATTTAAAGCATTTCTAGACAACTTCAAGTGTAATTTTCCGGTAAAAATTTATCTATATCGTTTTGCATATTTTACTTTCATTATAATTCACAAGAGACGAAATGGAGAGGTTCTGGAGTGGCAGCTTTATGGCAGTAAGCGGTGTGTACCCGGTACGACTTGCGAGAAGTCGATAGATGCAGGACTACGAGCACTTAACCCTAGCTCGTAGATGCCGGTCCTTGTTTTGTGGCGCTTCTTGGCGGAGGCCGATGACCAGGTGTCGACTTGTGAGGACCTGTAATGATAACGATGTTTTTAGAGTGTGTGCCTTTCGTGAGTATTCTGCCACTGTGTTACTCATAATTTCAAACGATACCTCTCTCACACTTATCATATACATCAGTTTGAGAAACACTGAGTAATTGGAAGATAGAACCGTGGGCAAATAGATTAGGTAGAAGAGAATTGCAACTGTCATTGTGCAACACTGTTTTTCAACGTCGTGTTTAATATAATATCATATATTATCCCTCTGGATAACTGTCAATATGTTCACATGATGAAAAGTGGATACTGTGGCTGATAGACATCTTACACATTTATCTTCAACTATGCATCAAAATCACATGCGTTTTGAAATCTGAGTACTAAGACGGACTGTCCCGTTAGCAGTACAAGGAATTTCCGGTTTTCGTCAGCATTGTGCTGACATTTTCCGCTGATATTCTATGAGTGCATGGTCCTTGCTTAGTCGAATCCACCGTAAAACAGTAATTATAAGTAAACTGCAGTGAGGCTCTATCAGCTA